CACAAAACGACAATTTCGTGGAACCATGAAAGGGAACGAGTTGCACAAAGAGGAAGACAGAGGCTAACGGGAAGAGCGAGCACGCAAAGGAGAAAGAAGAGAAGAGGGTGAACAGAATCACCAAATACGAGGTACGGAACGCTTTTTCGAGGGTGGTTCCCTGTGCATGCTGTGCGTACACTCCAGCTCATAAATATGAAGCCTATTGATGAAAAGTACTTGAAAACAAATCTACATAAAATGCTCCTCAATTAAATTATATAGAACAATAAATATGTATGATTTGATGAAAACGGGAGAATGTCATATTTTCGAGGAAAATGTGTTAAATCCGGTATTGGAATTTTAATGAAATATATATAAAACTGAGAATTTCAAATGGTACACACAAATATTATCCTTAATCAACATCTCTACTTACAACTTAGACCCTGATATTACTGCAATTATTAAACAGTGAAAATAGAATTAACAGATAATCGAGATTCTTAAGGGATCTAAAGGGCTTTTGCACTTATGAGCGAGAGTGTACGTGTGCGCGCATGAATGTGTGCAGAACGCGTGCACAGAGGGAGAAATCCGCAGAAATTGCTGGGTAAAGACGACGGGTCTGGGAAAGTTGCGCATTCACCCTCGAGCACCCAGTCATCTCCCGTCTCGGGGATATTTAATATGCTGCGGCAGGGTTAGAGTTTCCACTGAGCAACCAGGAACTGGATAAATGGACGAAGCCAGCAGGTAACGCCGGCAAACTTTTCTGCGGACGGGAGCTCCGCTTTATCGATTCAACCGGTTTTATCAGGAACCTGAATACGGGATGAAGCGGCCGCTTGGATAACAGAAGTGCGAATAACGTAAATTCAGGAACCTGCCCTTTTTTATCAAACACTCTACTTTCGCGACCGTAGAGAGGAAATCTGGGCTCGAAAATACTGCGTCAAACAGACTAATTAAGTCGTCTCAAAGTACAAAATAATTCTAAAAAGAAGACTAAATACATAACATATGAAGAATGTCCTTGGTCGATGTTTCGTTGCAAATTGAAAAAAGATCTTGTACGCTCTTTGACAAGTGTAAAATTTACAAAAACGAAACACGTTCTCTCGGGTTGACAGTGCAATATTATTTATACGAGCTCGTGTGTTAGCGCGTTACTAGGAGGACGCATATGGAAAGAATCATAGTCGAGATAAAAGAGTTCTATGAGTCATACACGTAGAATCTTGATGATCGTAAGTGATCCTTGACGCTTAACGGCTCCACGACCTCGATTTTGGTAAAACAAGCGGAAATTGGTTAAGCGTCTGTGTGCACCGCTTTGTGCCGCTGTGTGCACCAGCGAATTAACGACGGTATAGTATTCGTGATGCGAAATCACCGTTTTGCGATAGCACCCCTCGGGATCGTTCATATTCGCGCAAAAATCTCTTTCGATGATCTCACAAAGTATTAAACACTGGTAATCGACTGAATTATTACAAAAACACAAGTGAAGAAATATGTTTTCAAGATGGTTAAAGATTAGATAATTAGAAAGTAAACATAATTGCTTATACTGCGGCTATACGTAATAAATCACGCTTAACGTACGTCGTAAACGAAATACGTTGATACGAAAGTAACAGGTAATAGCTATTGAAGAAATGGACAGACCACTCGGTGAAATTGGTTTGTCTTAAGAAAAGTGAAATCTGCATGAACGTGGTTACGTGATATTGGCAGCGAAAAATATGCGATATCGAAAAAGGATAAAATACGTTTACGTACAATGAACGATTCCCCATACTACTGTATAAGTATTACTGTTAACTTAAAATTTAGTAAATGTACGTGGCACATGGCCAATCTCATAATTCATGAAAAAGATAAAAATTGCGATATTTAAATATGTACCAAAAATGTATAGAAGTCTGTGGTGTACTCTAATAATAACAATTTTTGTAAGCTGCTAACCTCACAAGAATCTAAATGATATTCCTAATTAAAGCCTTACATGCGATCCAGAACCGGTAATTAAAGCATTATAAACATTTTGATGCATATAAAAATATTATAACTATTCTACTTAGTGTTATAACGCGACGCAATACAATAGAACGTACTTTATTTTAGGCATGTCACAAATAATTTGTTTCAATGTCATTCTGTACTTACGTTAAACTTTTCGGCACATCTACGAATTTCAAGTAGCGGGATCTCTGATTTTCTACGTTTCTTTCGGAACTAATACACATCACTAAATAATGACACTAATTTTTACTGAACAAACTAACGTAAAATAATTTGAAAAGTGATAATGGAACTCGATCTTCCATAAAAAAAAGCGTTGAAAAAGAGACAGAACTGGGAACGGTATCTAGCGGCAGAGTATAAAATTCGACAGGTAAAAATCATCCCGCCGATAAAGATGGTTACTATGTACCATGCATCAAGATTAACGAAATGTTCGACAATTCCAGCCTTTTTACGAAACACTTGTTGCTCATATTTCTCAGATTAACGTCAGTTATAAAATAACTGATCGCGAATAAACAATGAATATAATGTAGACTTATATTAATAAGAGAAACACGTTTATATGAAGATAAATATTGTTTCTGAGAACACGACCATATTTTAACATTTCGTGTTCTTCGGTTAGTTTATATTTAATTCATCGTATGACAAACTAATCGGTTATCTTGTTGATTTCATAAACTTCTTGTAACATTGATAATCATACACATTATTTAAGGAAGTTTGTTCTAAACTTGTAAATTTCATAAATTTGATAAGATAACAGTATTCAAAGAAACAGTAGATCACTTTATCTAACTTGAAAGCTTTGTAAATCTAGATTTATGTTTTTAACAATTTACTCTTTCCTCAACATACAATTATAGAAAATATGAGATATTGTATTGTATGATATATCAATGTCAATATACAGATAACATATCATAAAATTACACATAATATAACAAATAACTTACCGAAACATCTGTGTCACTGTAACAGCCACGGTATTACGACGAATATGCCCATGGATTACCTGAAAGAGCAAAAAGATTATTCATGTAAAAATTACAAGAATAATACAATTTTTATTTTATTATATACGTATGTACTTGAATCTTTACTTGTATATCGAGTAATGTTTTGAGATAGTGTAAGCATATAAAGCACAATGAGATGACCAAAAAATAGATAATGCTATTAAGTTATCTTTAATTAAACAAAAAAATATGAATGACATAAATCACGAAACTAAATTCCAAATGTAAAGCTAATAACGAAACACTCATTTTCCTTTGCAAACTTACATAATTTCTAATGTTGAATCAGCGATAAAGTGAGTATAAAGGGTATAAAGTGAAAGAAACAAAAAATCGTGTTGTATGTAAAAAAAAAATGATTGCCATAGACATATCGTATCGTATGTTCGTAAAATTGACTTTGGTCAATCGAATTATCAAATGTTTATTTTCTAATCGAAAAAAGCGATTACTCGGTCACTGTATACTTGCCAAAGTCAAGGTCGTCCAACTTGCCATTGTAAGGTCAAGTCGTCATGTTTACAATGTCAAATCGGAACTATAATTCACGCGATACTGCACACACGCACATGCCCACGCACCAACGTTACGAACGAGCTTACGATATTATTGTCCGTATCTAAAAAAAGGCAAAGCATCTCGAAGCGCGATTGAACAACCTCGTGAGAAAAAAATTCTACGGTAAGAAGTTAGGTTAAGCTTGTACCGAATGACGAAGCCGGTAACCGCGCACTACGATACACGATTTTATTTCTCCACGATACTTTTAATACAATACTATCAATGTTCCCGAATCTTTACTTTAATTAATACTTAAATCACGATAAATGGCATCCCTGACAAAATAATTACCTATCGAGTCGTGGAGCACATGTGTTAACAATAAACTATTCACCCCTTTAACCTCTTGCTAGCGCACAATTCTGCCTACTATCTGACGTATTTAACATCTTATTGTCAATACGGTATTCTACTCACTATCGGCTACCGTGACATAATAACACGCAAAAATGAATGAACGATGTTCTACCACTGACATTTTATGATAATACCTGATGATACCGGCACTGCGCAAACACTACCAACTGTTTTTCGTTCTCGCATTCTCAAATCAAGAAACACGCTAACGCGGTGGCGTCGTGATGACAAGTTTGAGTTGGCAGATGGCATGCCCGACGTGCTACCGCGAAATTTTGGATTATCTGATTTTTATTGCTGAGAGCTTATCATCCCGACAAAAGCAACAATGCGTGACCGCGTAAATAGTTACATTGATGATCGATTTTTACCATAAGTATGTATATGTATTGATTAAGTACCTACACGTGGATATGTATTAGTACAGATGCCAGATTGAGGACGGGATTTGGAATTCGGAGTTTCCGCACATGTCAGAGTGTTCTTGTCTGTAAACCAGACACGACAGACTTGAGAAATATTGAAAGACGGTTCAATTTTCGCTCATCAATTCGAAGAAATCATTATTAATCGTATCATTACATTGTAATAATGCAATTAATAATTATATTACCAGTGATATCATATTTGATTCGAATTTACTAATCAATCTTTTATTTATTAGGCAATGAGCTTTTTTTACAGAATTTAGAAACAAAGAAGATTCTTCATTTTATGATCAGATCCTGAGAGCAA